AGGAACTCAAACACATCAAGTATCAATCCAAGTAACCACCGAAGTTTATCAATCTTTACAACGAATTCACCGATCAATGCAACTAATGACACCCCTCTCTTTGCTAACAAGTCTAGTTTCTTTCTGTTTCTAGCCGAAGTCTAAATGTCTCATTCTCCAAACTCTTTTTCTCTCTTTTTTTCGCTCTTTTTCAGTAGGGAACGACAGCTCCGTCACAACTCCCGAGTTTTAGCCTTTCGTGATTGTCTCAATAAAAGAATTATTGGATTTATATACTAGAGTCCCCACGGATTGGCAGTTGTTGCAGCCTATGACTCTTTTTTTTCTTTTTTTTTTGTACCAAACGACTTTTCAACTCCACAAATTATTCCTCCATCCTCATTATTCTTTTTTTTTCGACTATGAGACATAGAAACCCCAACTTTCAACTTCAAGTCCCCAAACTTAATCAACATTGATTAAGACAATCACAAGCACATCTCAACAATACAAATCGTCACTAAACCAACTCACCACAAATGAATCACAAAAATATCAACCTTCATGTCTTTGTTCCCAAAATAAAAACACCTTAAGAATTTAGCCAAATAAAATTAACTCAAGCCATTTCAACTAGCGCAATAAATTCAAACCAACTCTCAAATCATCATTGCAAAATTCCATGTACATGCAATCTCATGCCCACACAAGGCAAACGAATATCATGCAATTTAATCTAAGAACTCAAACTCTAATGGGCATAATTATAATTACATAATATAACATGAATGCTCACCAATAAACCACCTCCCCAAACTTAGAGTTAGCGTATATCATCGACACTCAGAAATCATAAAAGAACAAAACCGGAGGTAAAAGAAACGAGTTCACCTTAGTCAATGCGGAAAACTTCGCCGAACCACGCACACCATTGGGTTTTCTCCCAACAAGCGCCTCTATTTATTGTTGTTGGCTCGGCTTATTACTTCTTTTTTCATCAAATGATCCATTGCCTTTGTCTCATTGTCTCAAAAGGCTGGATATTAAGGCCCAAGACATACTTCTGTGCATCCTTACTCAACACCCACTTCATATTGGAAGAGATAAAACAAGGTTCAGCTTCTAGCGGCACAAGAGCGGGGAGAACGAGACGCTTTCTGGCTACAGCAGGTCGAGTACGAGGTACAACAGACTGAGTATGGTGAAACCCTGTACTGGACTGTTTCGACTCCATTTTCTCTGTATTCATGATTTTTCTGTACTCCAACTCGTATGTCCACTCTTCAAGTTCCTCGAGGTCCTTACTGAACGAATGGGTGATGCTGGAACTCAATAGACTTATTTCGAGCTGACACGCTAGTCGGTCCATCTGTTCAGCCAATTGGCTTACTTGGACATGTAAATTACTTATGCTTAGTTCTTGGCTCTTGAGGCTCGTCTCAACACCTTGTTGAAAGTTAAGAGTGTGAGTCGTCAACCCCTTTATCATCTCTTCAAGTGACTGATCAAGATCTCTCTCAACTAATGGCTCGCAGTACTCTTGCCGAAATTTCAACGTGTGCAACGTCAATGCCTCTATCATATCCTCGAGCGATGAGCTAGGATCTCGCGCAATTGGTTCCTTGGAGTACCCATGAAAAGAGTTCGAATTCTCTCTAAAGCGGTATACATACTCATCGATATAAAAGTAGTCTTTCTCGTTCCATCGCCAACCACTAGGTCCTCTTACGTCTCAATTAAAATCCACGGGCCTCCTATCTCCCTCTCATACTGGTAAGGTATTTGGTGGGTATAAAAATCGTGACAATAGGCTTCCATTCTCGAAAAGTTGCGCTAAGCTCGATAAAACCGCCCAAAGAGAAGTTATTTTCGCGAGTATGGGGTCGAACTATTTTTTTCAGAAGAGTATGGGGTCGCCCACTATTCTGCAAGAAAACAAAAAGAAAAACAAGTAAAAAGGGGGGTAAAAATGATAAAAATGAAATCCTACAAAAAATTAATAAAAAATAGTAATTCAATTAGTACTCAATAATAACAATTTAATAACACCACTCCCCGACAACTGCGCCAAAATTTGACCGCGCGTCGCATGCGGCAAATTTATAATTTACATTTTTCCTTCACCAACTTCTACTAACTAGTAGTTGTGGTGAGTAAGGGTTGAACCCACAGGGAGTGTGAATCAAATTTTAAATTTTTTCGTATTAATTGACATTATTTAAAGCGATAAAAAAATGGGGGGACTGGATTAATAGCTAAACTAACCAAAATAAATAAAATCTATACAAATAAAATAAAATAAATAAATTAAGAGATTATTATTGTAAACATAAATAATCCTCTCATTTGGGAGCTGCCGATTCTGGCGATTATCCCGTTTGGGAACGTTTCATCTTTGGCACCTGCTGTGTTGATTTTTCAGTGATTCCTTCTTATTTTGTGTGATTCATTGGAGATCGTTGAGAAATTGTGGGCGTTGTGGTTGTATATTCATGGGTGAACCCCAAGATGAAGGCAAAGAGGAAGACCTAGCTAACCGCCTCAAAGGCTTTTCCCTGTCGGCTGCTGAGGCCTTAGTTACAGACATAGCGCAAGAAGATATCCGGCGAAGTGCAGAAGAATGCCGCTGTAGTCTGTTCGGGAAGGTGGTGGGAGACCGTCGTGCTAGCTGGATTGGTATAAAGTGCACTATGAACAACATATGGAAGCTGCATAAACCAATGGAAATCAAGGAGCTCGAGCCTAATTATTTCCAGTTCATCTTCCACAATAGGGAGGACATGAAAAAAGTTGCAAGCGGCACCAACTGGATATACGATAATCAATACTTGATTCTCCTAGAATGGGAGCAAGGATTAAATAACCATCACAAGGGAGTTAATGAGCTGCTGCTCTGGGCTGAGGTAACCAACCTCCCTCTTGACTGGCTTAGCTCTGAAGTTGGTCTTAAAATTGGGAAGGCATTCCCAGAGGTTAAGAATGTTCTAGTTCAAAACATAAGCCCTCATGGAGGTAAGATGTTAAAGCTGCTGGTTACTATCAACCTCAGTGAACCACTACCAAGATGCACAAACATTAGGCTGGGGGATCAAATTGCAACAGTGGGGTTCCAGTATGAGAGGCTAGTGAATCTTTGCTACTACTGTGGAGTTATTGGGCATCTGGACAAAAGCTGCAAGAAAAGGCTTGATGACATCATAAATCAAACTCTGAAGGAGGGCCAATACGGAGAGTGGCTCAAGACTGAAGACAACATTCCTGGGACATATGCAAGCCCTTCAAGTTCCAGACAATCTCCTTTTACTAGCCAAGCCCCTGCAACAGTAAACTCAAATAATCCATCAAGTTCAATAGGGAAAATTCCAGATAGCCCTATACCTATAAATGCCATGAAGAGTTTACAGGAGACATGCCCACAAGATACAGTTGACTCAACCTCAGAAGTCCCTGAACTTCTTCCATCTACACAATTGGTCTTATCTGAACAGGCCACCTCTAAATATCAGCACTCCATGGAGATAGTCACCTCTGATGTACCTATTCAAGAGAAAGACAAGCTAATGGAGATTGAGTTCACTCTCCCTTCCATTTCGAATACGATCTCCCAGAAGAGTACAGTGATGCAGAAAGGGAAAACAGTGACTAAAATGAGCTCCTGGAAAAGGTCTGCTACTAAGGAGGGAAGGCTGTAGAGACAAATAATTCCAAGCCCCTCTCCTGAGCAATCCTCAGGATCAAAAAGAGACATAGATTATCTTAACTCTCTAGAAGTAGAGGATACAGAACAGTCTGGGAAAAATATCAAAGGCTCAAACAACAAGGTGGGGGATGCCAGCCTAGAGTGGCACCCAACCCATCAATGCTAGCTGCAGTGTGGAATTGTAGAGGGCTGGGTGGGCCCTCTACAATTTCTCAAATCAAAGAGTCTTTTAGGACTCACCACCCAAGGTTTTTCTTTCTCCCAAAAACTAAAAATAATGGTGCTTATGTTCAATCTATTAGTAGAAAGCTGGGATTTGTAGATAGACACTATATTGTAAACCGCAGAGGAAAAGTGGAGGACTTCTATTGCTTTGGCATCAAGAGGTGGATCTTGTCAATGTGGTATCCAAGGATTTTCACATTGCAGTCAACTATTCTCTGAATAATTAAGATCAAGGTTGAGGTGTGTTTATTTACATGAGTGCTGATAGAAGAATTAGGGAAGCTCAGTGGATGATTTTGGAAGAGGATAAACATTCCTGGGGTGAAGTGTGGTTTACTATAGGAGATTGGAATTCTATATGTGCAAAGGAAGAAAAGAAAGGGGGCAGACCTAGACAAGATAAAAGTTTTGATGGCTTCAACAATTTCATCTCCAACATGGAAATGGAAGAGGTGGGCATGGAAGGATATCAGTTTACATGGGGTAACAACAGAGAAGCTGAGGGTTATGTTGAAGAGAAGCTAGACAGAGCTTTTGCTTCTTATGAATGGCACAACTTCCACCCCAATGCTAAAGTGCTAAATGTGATAAGAACAGCCTCAGATCATTCCCTCTTTATTCTTAATGTTGGTTCTCAAGATCCTCGGTGCAAGAGGAGGTTTGCCTTTGATAGAAGATGGGCTTCAAAAGATGGATTTGAAGAGGTGGTGCAAACTGCTTCGGCCATCCCACAGACTGGTAAACCTTTCTTTAGGCTTAAAGAAAAAGTGAAGCAGACAAGAATTGCTCTTCTCATATGGAGCTCTAAATTTAAGTCCCAGAACCAAGAAAAGATTGATGTTCTTTCTAACAAGCTTGAGGAAATCAGAGAAGCTGGTAAAGCAGACAAGTGGGAGGAATGGGATTCAGTAAACAAAGAACTTAATGCTGCCCATGCATATGAAGAAAAATATTGGGCTCAAAAAGCTAGAGTACAGTGGTTAAAGGAGGGTGATTCCAACACCAAATTCTTCCACGCTTATTCCATGTCCAGAAGAAGACAGAATGCTATCTCAAGACTAGTCACTGATGCTAATAGAGTCTGCTCTTCAAGGAGGGAAATTGAAAATCACATCACCACTTACTACTCATCATTGTTCTCTTCAGAAGGTTCTTGGGGGGGGAGAGTCCATGTTGCACCTTATTCCACAAACAATCACTGCAAAGATGAACCAGGATCTTCTTAAACTGGTTGAAGATGATGAGATTAAGGAAGCTTTGTTCAGTCTACACTTTGACAAATCCCCAGGGGAGGATGGCATGACAACCTACTTCTACCAACACTTTTGGAATCTAATTCAAGGGGATCTCATTGAAGCTGTTCAAAGTTTCTTCAATTCTGGTATGCTTTTACAATACTGGAACCATATTATAATCTCTCTAGTGCCTAAATGCAATGCTCCTTCATCTCTGAATCAGTACAGACCTATTTCACTATGTACTGTGGTTTATAAAGTGCTATCCAAACTGTTGGCCTCAAGACTTAAATGTTGTTTGTCTGCTTGTATTAGTCCAAGCAAATCTGCCTTTATTCAGCACAAACAACTTCTAGACAGTGTGATATTGGCACAAGAAGTTTTTCATTTCCTCAACAGACATAGATCTGGTAAGAACTTCTTCATGGCTTTAAAGCTGGACCTTATGAAGGCCTTTGATAGGGTTGAGTGGATTTGTATAGAAATAATTATGATCAGAATGGGCTTCGGTTTGGAGTTGGTCAAGCTTATCATGGTATGCATCACTTCCACTTCCCTATCTTTTATTGTGAATGGCTCTCTGACTGGTGCTATCTTCCCATCTAGAGGAATCAGACATGGGGATCCTTTATCCCCCTTTATATTCATTATTGTTACAGAGTTACTCACTGTTCTTATCTCTGATTCTTTGACTAGAAGAGCTCTTACTGGAAATAAATTATCACATAATGGTCCAGCATTATCACACCTGCTCTTTGCAGATGATGCCTTGTTCTTTTGGTAGGCTGAAATTAGTCAAGCTCAGGAGTTGGTGAATTTATTGGAGAGGTACAGGTTATTTATAGGCCAAAGAGTGAACATCCAAAAATCTTCTGCATTCTTTAGCAAAAACACCTCTCTCACTGCTCAGAATCAAGTTTGTGCTGTTATGGCTGGTATTCAATTTCATTCTTCTACCAGATACTTGGGTCTCCCCCTGGGGATTGCAGATCAAAATCAGAAGTTTTCTCTTATGTCTTAGACTCAGTTAAAGCAAAGCTTTAGAGTTGGAAGAATAAGATGATTTCAGTGGCTGGTAAGGAGGTATTAATTAAGGCTGTCATCAAGCCTTACCAGTGTTCACTATGTCCTGCATTAAACTCCCAGCTTCTGTCTGTAAAGCCATCTCAAGTTTGAGTGCAAATTACTGGTGGAGTAAAGGGGATACTCAAGAGGCTGGACTTCACTGGAAGGCATGACATCTTCTGTCAATTCCAAAAGCATATGGAGGCATAGGTTTCAAGGACATCAGTTCTTTCAATAAGGCTCTTATATGCAAACAACTATGGAGAGTGGTGTCTCAGCCTAATTTGCTAGTGAGCCAGGTTCTCAAGAGAAGATATTTTCCAAATTGCTCTATTTTTTATGTTTCTAAAACTCAAAATGGCTCCTGATCTGGAACTCATGGATTGATTGCTTGCCTATTCTTGGTCAAGGACTTAGAATTGAAATCAATGATGGGGCATCAACAAGAATCAATGACATTAATTGGATTCCAAGCCTTCCCCTTACCAAGCCATCTCTCCTGAGTATTGCACAAGGCCACATCACATGGGTGAAGGAACTGCTACAGGACAATGGCCTCAGATGGAACTCATGGTTGGTGAGCCAACTCTTTGGTGAAGCTGACTGCAGAGCAATTCTTGACATCCACTCATTGAATGTATCTAAAAAGGATAGGATCTTCTGGTGCTTAGAAAAGAAGGGCCATTTCTCTGTCTCTTCAACATATGATTTCTTGATCAAACAGAATATTTTTCACTTTGATATTCTAGGTAGCAGCAGGAATCTCTCTTGCATTAAAAAAGCTAGGATCAGGACATGGAATTTGAAAATCAAGGGAACTATCAAGCACTTTATCTGGAAATGTGTGACTGGCACTCTTCCTGTGAAAGCTAATTTGGCCCAAAGGGGAATTGATATTGATGTTATCTGCAGTGGTTGTGGTAATGCTCCAGAGACTATAGAACACATTTTCTTCCATTTTTTTAGAGCTCAATTGATGTGGAAGTTAAGTCCAGTGAAATGGGAAGAAGTTAACTCAGAAGGGGGTCTTTTTAGATCATGGTGGTGGCACTTATGCTCTGTCAACAACACCAAGGTAGCTGAGGAGAGGATCCAGCTCACAACTTACCTGCTGTGGTGGTTGTGGAAATCCAGGAACCTCTGGATTTTTGAAGAAATCAGAATGCCAATCCAAGTGGTAGTCAGCAAAGCTCACCTTGCCTGGATGGAGTACAGTGACTTGAGGAAATTGCAGGCTTAAGATGGTTCTGTGTGGTCTTTGGTTGTATTTCTTGCTTTCGCTTTCCTTGCTGTTAGTTTAGAGTTCTTTTTCAGTTTCTGCTTCTTTTTTGGAGTCTATAGTTGGATAGTGGGCTAGTCTTTGAGCAGTGGTCTGTTATTCTTCTCTTAGTCAGTTGTTGTGTTGTCTCTACGCCACCTTAGGGTGTGTCCTCTCATTTTAGTCTTCTTTTCTAGGTGTATTGGGAAGTTTGCCTCGATTTGCATTCGAACGGTGTTCATTTTGGTTTATATATATTTCCTCTATCGTTTCGAGAAAAAAGAAAATTAAGAGAAAGCTTCTAGTCCACGGTTCCGTCTACACCCTTGATTGACTAGTCTAATCACTTTTGGTTCAAATCTCGTTATCTTATGAATCTTACTTTTGGATCTAATCACTTTTGGATCTTACTCTTTTCTTTTTTTTTTTCTCTCGGATTTCTTTGGTTTTCAGAGGTTCTAGACCGCTCTTTGCGGGTCTCTCCGTTTGTTGTTTCGATTTGTAAAACCTTATATTCGAACTTTGTTCGATTTGTGAGTTATATAGTATCCTCTATCGTTTTGGGAAATAAAAAACTCGCTATCTTATGGAATTACTAGCCCTAGGTAACGACGCAGTCTGCTACCTGAATTTTTTCTTATTTTTAATTGAACTGCGAGACGCTCTACGATTAAACCTGACTTCTTGTACAGTCTAGAAAAATGTTTTTAAGATTTAATACAATTAGTCGCTTTACGAATTAGAAAAATAGGCAAGACTAAGTAGTGAACTCAACCTCGTTCGTTCAATGAAATAGGTCGTGTTATCCTCGGTAGTTACCATCTTCCGGTAGCCTCTTATGAATTGAACACATCAACAATTACGAATTGAAGGTCTAATTCAGCTATAGATATGAAAAGCCTAATCTAGGTGATCAATCTAAATAAGACTCAACACATCATGGTTAATTACTCAAAATAACACGAACAATTCTAAAAATACATTGAAATTATCAACCATATAAATTAATCAAAACATGTCAATCGAATGGTTCGACTTCCCTGGAACTAGAAATAAAAACCTAGGCTAACATAATAAATAATAAAAGAAAAGGAATAGAATTATCCCCTTCGTGTGCGGGTACGGTCTCCCTCCACGATTGCTGACTTCCTCGTATCTTTGTGTCTGTTCTCTCTATCCGTGCGGCTCCCTCTACTGCTGCGTGGTTCCCTGGTGGCTCAACAAATAATTCCTCCTGATGTTCAATCTGATTGGAGCTTGGAGGCGTGAGTTTTCTTTTTTATATCCAACCATTTAAATCCTATTTCTCTTCTATGAAACTCACGACCCAAATAAAAGTGTACCTCACAAATAATTGCCTCTCAAATGTATCTCTTATAGCCCATAGTCCATCACGTCCCTCGGGCCTTTGTTTTTAAAAATTGAGCTCAAAGAAATTCCTTCAACCCCTCGTTAATTAAATGGCCTTTGATGTTAAGAATTGGGCTTAAATTTGGACTGGAATTGGACCCATATGGAGTGCTCAGTAATATAGTGCATGAATCTCCGTACAAAGCTTCGCGTTCACAAAATACTCGATGAGCTGAAAATAAATCATAAAAATATAATAGCAAATAAATTCATTCAAATAATAAATAAGTAAAAAAAATGTGCAAATAAATTAAGTGTGTAAAATACACCATTAAATATATAAAACGTGCACTTTTTTCGACCTATCAATATGTGTTATAATTTAAATCTATGTATTAGTTTATAAATATGCAATTTGTATCATTTGCACTTGTTATTGTGACGACGTCGAATGGAACAATGTTGTTACAAAAAATGAATTAATTCCTACATAATACCTAATTAATAATATAGAATGACACACTAATAAACTAATAACAAAATGTTGGACAATCGTAAATGTTGATTTCTTTTATCAAATTCATATGATTAATCCCTACATATAATACATAATTAATAATATAGAATGACACTTTTTTTTTTTCCAACGGCAAACAAAGATAGATTACTCAAACAACATTGTCTTACAAATCGAGGCTTAAATAGGCACAATAGGAGACCTAACAAGCAAACACTAATTAGGACTACCATAGAATGACTTTTACAAATCACCTTGGAGAGCCATTTTGGCTAAATCAATACAATCCTTACAAGCATTTCTGTCTACTACAAATTTACAATGCAGAAACCAATGAAACAAGACCAGAAAATTAGAAGCCACACTATCTCTTTGCTCTTGCCCTTCCAACAACACTTGAGTCGACTCCTGAACCTCTTTGCTGTCCAGACAACATGTGATGGACCTCCATTTTATCTTCGGAGCCAGTGTCAACAACCAACAGAGGGCTTCCATGTGAGCCTCCACTGAATTTCCACTGAAATCCCTAGATGCATCCCACATTTGGACCACTTTGTTATGCTTTAGAGCCATTACACCCATCCCCAACCTGCCATTGTTGATCCAGCAACCCACAACCACAAGAACACTGTCATGAGACTCTGATCCGATGTCACAGCTGACTAAATCATTAATAAAGCTATTCTGTTCCCTCAGCCCTCCCCTACGCTCATCTAAACCACTCTCTTCATCTATATTACCCACCCTCTGACAAGTTTGAAATAAGTTCTAGTCATCCAAAGCCCACTTCACCAACCTATCCTCCCTAACCCATTTCTTCTCAAACACCCAACAATTCCTAGTTTTCAAAAGTCACCACAAAAGATAGGTAGATAAACTGATTCTATCTACCATATTAGTGACCTTTGGAGCATTATAAATGTCTACCCACCACACCCCAAAATCAAACCCTGGATCACTAATCCCCTCCCAACACACACCCAAAAGTTTTCAGCACCTCTTAGCTCTCTAATAATGCAAGAAGAGGTGATTCAGATCCTCGTCACCATCCCCATAGACTTAACAAATCTTCTCACATATGATTCCCCTCTTACTCAACTGAACCTTAGTACCTAAAGACCCATGCCAACACCTCCAAAGAAGTTTTTGATTTTATTCTGAATAGGCAACTTCCAGGTGCATTTCCATATCTTCTCAATCTGCACTTGATTACTACTCCCTCCCTTAAAAGTAGAGCTCTTCTTCTTATTCATGATGACCTCATAAGCATTTTTAACT